TTAGTATCACTTACTTCTTGACCTCCGAGTACCATGAATCAGTGGCATCTGCACCGGCATCGTCAAAGTCCGCCGAGCTACTCATAAAAATATTCTCGCCCTCGCCAGACTTACGATCTTTGGCGTGCATCAACTTGTTCTTTTTCGCGATATTCTTGGCCCATGCTTGTGCCTCTCGTGCGAGTTCGCTGGACCACGTCAGGAGTGGAACATTGTGTTGACTGCGGTACTTGTTATGTGCGTCTAGAGATTTCTTGGTGAAGGAATCCATGAAGAAAATGCCTTCCTGCATAAATAATGATAGCTGAAATTCTAGAATTTCAAGATGTATAGTTATGAATTATAAGATAACAATTTCTTTATATCTCATGACTTTAGTGTACAAGCGAAGTATATAGATAAAGGGTTGTTACAAAGATTGAAGACTATACTATGTAAAAACGTCGTCAGTGGTACAGCTTAGTATTGTCACGAATGACAATGCAAATATTATTTCTAATGAGTAAATACAAGTGAGCACAAGAAATAAAAATATAGCGTTTCAGCCAAAGGTCATTCTTTTATAYAAGTAGTAAACTCCCTCTAAATAATACCACCTGGTTAAACTGAGTTACGGCAAGAATAAAATACGAAAATTGGGCTCAAAACTGGTCTTTTTTCCAGAAATGTTACGAGGAAAGTACATTGTATGCGAGTGAGTGTGAAAAACTGCATCATGTGCCTGCATAGCCCTAAAGATCACTTTCAAAAAGGGTTGTCACCAGGTCAGCCAGTGCAATCGTTCGACCATGTAAAAATGGCCATCTTTGAGAGTAAACAACTCAAACAGATTTTATAAGTGCTTTAAAAATCGCTGTTCTTGCCATGACGGCCTGTTGAATTTGGTCTTTGGTCTAACAAGCCACTGTTTACCAACTCTGAAGTTATAGGATTGTAGCCTCCGTTACCTTGTCTGAACTGACGGAGTTAAGTCAATATAAAAAAGGTTTAAAAAGGCGTATGAATGTTATAAAAGTAGCCTTACCTACAGAAAATAGGAGTAGATGTTTGTGCTCCCGTTCGTCTTGCAGTGGATGTTATCAAAATGGTGTACAATGTCAGCAGTACCTGTCTCGTGGTCTGATTTGCATAAGCGTGTGATTTACATATTCTATTGTCTATTCAATACTTTCAACAAGTAAACAGGGAAATATCTTTAAGGACATGTGGTCGTCCGCGACCTCAATGGGCCGATCTAAATACATCGTRAAAGGTTATGCTAATTAAACAGGGTTCATTGATATAACTTCAAGAATTCTCTGAAATTAATTGTMAAGAGAGGGAGATTTAGTTAATCAGTTTATCATCCCTCTACATACGGAGACTTTGGTTACAGTATGGACTAGAGTTCTGGCAGTTTAATATCGAATTATAAACTTTATAGAACATGGGGAAAATAATAAGGTAAAAAATACTAAATTCTAAAGCAAGGTAACTTTGTTCACAACTATTCTGACGAGAAAATCAAACGGAAATAACGTGGRCGCCGAAATAAAATCCAAAACGATAAATGCATCAAGTCGTAACTAGTAACCACCGTGAATATTTTATCGCTGTAAGAAAAGCCAAGCGTGCGCCATATATGATTTGAATAACATTTTGTTTACGTTGGAGATGAACAATTGAACTCTCGCTGAAGTTTTGTTCTGAATCATGGGATATYTTACGACACTTGCACTGGCCCCGAGTAAATGCTCTAAGAGCGTTAAGTCAGTTGAAGAGTTCAATTAMTTTGTGTTATTTCATCACTTTGCTTAGGGTTTAGGATTGATCCCCTAGATCGAAACATGCTTTAGCCTGTAAATCACTGCATACCAGTTCTGTGCAACATCTACTGCCTATAAAACTAGTTAACAAAAGTAATCATTCTTACAATAATTCACCTTATTGTTGGGGCGTAATGTATAGGCGAAGACGATAAGATTGTAACGACTGCAGAGTACGTTGTGTGAATCAGTCAAGAGAAACCTGCTGATACTGGTATACATCTGTAATGACCCCGAGAAATACTGGTTTTAATTTATCCCAAAGGTGAAGAGTTCATCACGTTTACCTGATACGCAGCCAGAGGCTTCCAATATCACAATACACTGATTTCAAATGATTTTAACATAACAGCGTCTATTTGTACTCTAGTTCTTGTATGAGTAGATGTTAATATCAGTGTGTTGAGTATGGTCATAGTATGGCGGACGAATCTTTAATAGTGAAATATGAGTGGCATACTAATCGTCCTATATCTATTTCGACTCACATGACAGATATTGTTACTTTTCATGTGYTTTCGTTTTGTTTACTTTCTACTACCAAAAAGTAGTAAGAAAACCGATTCTGGACCACACCTGATCAGGTATGGAATATGAGGGAATACATGGACGAAATGATATAAAGAGAAATAATGGGAAATGAAAACATAGTTAAAAGTTCATTGCAAAACTGTTTAAGCGCACTTTATTTATCTATCGGACAATAAACAAAATCATATCCTGCGAACAGAACCTCTTCAAAATCACTGGGTCTTAAGACTCCCACAAATTTGATATTTACGACATGACCTAGAAATTGATAGAAAACAACTTGATATATCATGTATATATATAAAAATTAAACTCTGCCAGCAGAAGCATTAGCCACCGCATCCAAGCTACTCCAAGTATGGTATCCCTGTGCTAATATTATGACAGACAGACTGGCAGCCGAGAGCTCTCATCGGCCAAACCATTCGTCACAGCCAGCGTCCTGAGATCAGGGTTGATATTGGAGAGAGACTGGAACACAGCATGCATGAGCATTAACCAATCTAAGAAGAATTCAGGYGAAACACTTTACGTCAGTTGGATTGTTCCAAGGTATTATTAGCGGTGACTGGAGAAGGACCTGTTAAAGAAAGCCATAGATAGATATTTCAGATGCTTTGTAGCTATATTATATGTATATCAGTGGCTTACTGGTACGGCAATTAACGCCATGTTACCAATTCCAGACAGTACTATACACAATCACCATAGSCTGACATGCTAGCAYACTGCTAACAACGTAGATCCTCTTCGACAGAACTATACTGTCACAGCTTTTACGACGATTTTAAATCCATGTTTGTAAGAATTAAATGGCTACTATGCGACTATATATTCTATGCATCCTTTATCCAGGCAATACGATGATTGCAGCTTTTTGCTTTTTTTGCGATATTAGAATACACTATCTAGATTAGTTACCAAGCCTAAAAACTGTTAGTTTTTCTGTTTGTGGTGGTGGTCAAGCTTTAGTTTAGTGAGAAGGCTACTCTTTTTACCAACATGCACTGCATTGACTGGTGGGACTGTGCCTACAAAAATGCACAACTGTTAGAAGTTGAAACCATACTCACTCCCATCAAGAAAARGAATGAATAGATTCTGAAATAAATGAGTCGACGTCATCTTGACTGTGCATACTTTTTTTTGCGTGAACAACGCAAACACAGTCAGAATGACCTGGTAGTTGTGCTTACCACAAAGCTGGCAGGTATTACCGCAGGCGCGCCTCAATGTACGTGGGAATCTCTGACAGTATCCCTTAGCTTTAACGGTTTCGCACGACTTYACGTCATAAGCATCACCGCATGGACCTGRTTTAGAACATGATAATTAACAATTTTAAKATTTATAATKRAATATTACTATTTCGGCTTGAAACTGTTGGATGTAGAAAGACACTACAAACCTTCACGTGTCATAGGATCAGAGTAGTCAGCCTCGAGCTCTTCGCGTTCATCATCAGAAAGTCGTTTGCGACCTTTATATACAACAAAAATCAAAATTAACCAAATAAGCACTTACTCGGCAGGAGAGTGGTAAAACATACCATCACATTTGTATAAAAGRTTAGCCTGWAGAACGTCCATGTCACTAAGAGAAATTCTCTGTCCTATCTCGATTTCCTTTCCTGATGCATCAGATTCTTTGAGGATCGTCATCGTCGGCAGCAGCTGAGCAAGTTTGGAGAAAAATGTTTTTCCGTAGTGCATGATGGATCCGTAATCGTAAGGTACATTTAGTGAATCAATGAATTTAGTGGAAAACTTAAGGAAATTTCTCTCATAACCTACAAAARACATTACCATGATAAGATTTCAAAATATATATGCAGCGAAAATTGAAGTTACAAMTAAACGGGAGGATTTACCTGGCATGATATTTTTAGAATGAACCTTAACAAATTCGTCTCTGTCAGGTCGGCTGTGCTCGTGGAAGAAGCCCACGGCGTGACCCATCTCGTGAATGATGTTTCCCTTCTTACAACGCAGTTCTGTTGATCCAATCGTAAGTTTTTGCATACCTCCTCCACGTCCTACTCGCGATGCACATCTAGTCAGATAAGAATATCATAAGATGATAGTCATAGTTAAGCACAGGAAGACCAGCAGTTTTATTGAGCTTACCCTCCTTCAAAGACGAAGTTTATGTAGTCTTTTTCATTCGTTCGGTGCTGGAAATTCAAGCAAGTTTTCTCTTGCCAGTGTTGGACGGCAGCTTCGGCATTTTCWCGTCCAATCTCGTCTGTAAAGATCATGTTACACGGTGGTGAACAAACAGAGTATTACWTTATTATAAAGCAAGTAATATTGTTATTATGGACTTATAACGCATTATTATTGTCATGCTAACGATATTGTTGACTTACCAACACTATCATCGAAGGTATAATACACCGTACGTTCTGGCCATAGATATGTTGTATTCTTAATAAGTGCTCTCTTATCTGCTCGGCCATCATCAAACTTCAAGCTCTCAAGGAAATGTTTCTGGTCTTCTGACAGGATCATGTCACCCTCAAAGTAACTTTTTCCAAGATTTTCCTCACCTAAAAAAGWTAAAAGTAAGCGACTGAGTGCCCTTACTTATTCCATTCAGCCCCACAGGTTTAACAATGCGTGTTTGGGCTGCCTGTATCATTTAGGAATTACACTTCTCGTATATGATCTGCGACGTCATTCACTTGTTGGTTTTTATTTTACCATTGMTCTACTTRCCTAGATCATCATCAGTTAGTATAAAGCTTGTAGTTCCCGACTTGTCWGTGGTCATTTTYACTCCTTCCTGGTTAGTAATGGCTCCATTTTGATTGGGCAAAGTGACAACAGGAGCTTGATTGGCTGAGACAGTAGCACCAACATTTTGAGTGGTGGATGCTGCAWTCTGATTGGCCGTGGGCGATTCTGCAGCTGTTTCTTGATTGATCGGATTAGACTGTTGCGGTGTTTGAGGAACATTTACAGGAACAGCAGTAAACTCCACGGAGTTGCTATTTGCAGGCTGAGTTGCTTGATTTGCTGTCTGATATTGTCCATTGTTAATTTGATCTTTAGCAATAGCTTTCTTTGATTTCTTGTCCATGGTTGTTTTCGACGATTTTTTCATGAAATTGTTGAATGCTTTCTTGAGATGTGCCGATTTGTTTGGCGTTTGACTCTTTTTATCCCCTTTCTCTTTTTCTACAAAAAATGTCAATAARCACTCTTGATCAGTATTCTAGCTGTTTCTTGCACACTTAAGTCATAGTACCTTACCTGCACATTTATATAGGAGTTTTGCTTGTTTTAGATCCATATCACTAAGACCAACTCTTTGACCAATGCTTGCTTTCTTTTTGGTTGCAATTGTCTTCATTCCTCTTTCTTTGCCAAAGAAAAAGGCACCGTAATGCATTACGGAGTCGTAGTCATACGGCTGGCCAAGTGAGTCGATGGTGTCGTTTGACTCTTTACGGAAGTTTCTCTCGTAACCTAACGTAAACAGTTTAGGGGTAAACTTTTTTT